GTGACATTTCAGCATCATTAAAGCAATCATGCATTTACCTTTATAAAAAAAAATTTTTTTTTAAATTTTATTGCTAGGGACTCTCAGTAAAGAGAACACAAATAGTAGGAAAACTCCATGTAATAACAATAATAACAATTATTTTAAAACTATAAGTTATTGGTTTTAGTGATTCTTGGTAATTTTTAAGGCATCAAAGTGGGAATGATGCTTAGAGAACAGTGATCTGTGTGGATCATAACTGAAACAGAGGCACAGTAAAAATAGTATATTTAGTAATACATTCTTAATAGTAATAAAGACACACAACACACAAAATATCACAAACACAAAAATAACCTCAACATTACCTGCCTTTCTTTCTCTCATTTTCTTTACTTCCTTCCTTCCCTCATAAATTCCTCCCTTCTGTCCTTCCTTCCTTCTTTCCCTCCTTCCTTCCCTGTGGTGCTGGGGATGGAACCCAGAACTCAAGACAAGCCCTTTACCACTAACTATATCCCCAGTCCTCTAACGTTTATTAATCTTCATGAAGGAAACACATAGTTCCCGTTACATTTCATTGTTTTCTTTTTATCTCTACTTCCCTCATATACTATAGATTCTCCTATACTTTCCCTCTTGGTGCCCCATCTCATCACAAATAAACTCAAATAACCTGAGCTCAGTGGTCATAGATGGGTAGTTTCAAAGGTGACTGGATTGGTGTGTGTATGTGTAGATTAAAGGTATGATATATGATACTGGAATTAAAGGTGAATAGTGGAAGTCTCACCCTAGGCATTAGTGCTACCAATCAATAGACTTTTAGCCTGGATAGAATATAAAAGAACAGAAAGAAGGCAGGCCTGCTTGCTGCTTGCTGCTTACTGCTTGCTGCCTTCTGCCTGCCAGGCCATAAATTGCTTTTCTCTGTGATGCCTCTCTGCCATGCTGCCCTGCCTTGGAGTCAGCTGACTATGGGCTGAAATGTCTATAAACAATGAACTAAAATAAACCTTTCCTCCTTTAACTTGCAGGTGTTGTGTATTTTATCTCAGCCAAAGAAAAATAACTAAGACAATGAGTCAGCAATCTAAGCATGACTTAAATGGGTCTTCTGCTTCAGGATCTCTCAACAAAAGTATTGCTTGCAGGATTCATCTCAAGGCTGAAATGCGCAAGGAGTTGGTCCCAAATTCATATGCTTGATGACAGAATACAGTTCCACATGGGCTTATGGACTAAGGGTCTTTGTTCTTCATTGGCTTCCTCCAGTTCTTGCCAAAGAACATGTTCGATACAAGAGTGTCCTTCTTCAAAGGGGACAAGCCAAGAAGGCAAAAAGAGACTTATAGCAGGCAAGACTATGGAAGTCATAATTATGTGTAACTTAGTCATGGAAGTGACACTCTATCTTCTAAGCCATATTCTGTTGTCTAAAATCAAGTCACAAGGATTAAAACAGAAACATTAAACTTGCTGGAAAGTAAGTTAGGTAGAACTCTGGAAGACATTGGTATAGGAAAAGACTTTATGAACAAATCCTCAGTAGCACGGGAACTAGCAGAAAGAATCAACAACTGGGATCTCATCTTACTAAAAAGCTTCTGTACTTCAAAAGAAACCATTAGCAGAACTAAGAGACAATCTACAATGTGGGAAAAAATTTTTACCAGCTGTACCTCAGACAAAGGACTATTATCAAGGATATATAAAGAACTCAAAACAATCAG